GGCAGGATCCGTTTGGGATGCAAAAAAAATGGACCCGTTAACCTGTTGGATGCCTCCGCGGCGCAAAACAAGCAAAGCACTCTGCGGTGCATCGCCACCTACTGAAAAGCCCCTCTCGGATTGCGAATAAACTGGCGAGCTGATGAAAACGTGCTCAGGCCTGAAACAGGCCTGGATTCAGCCGTGTCAGTCAAACATTTAACGTGAGAAATCTAGCAAGCAGTCACGGGGGAAAGCCTAATCCGGAAGCTGGGGTGTGACCAGGGGCGGTGACCGAGCTGTAATCTACGTCATGAAGCGAACCAGCCTGGATCCGAGGTAATTAATGGACTTGGGTGTCAAACAGGGTGGTTTTGTGTTGAACGGATACAAGTAAAATGCGACTGCGCACACGCAATATCCTGTCCTATCCGAATGCTACAATCACTAGGAAACAGTGTACAAAGCTCTGGTTTTGTATCCTGCAACCTGGGTCGTATGGAGTCCTACTTTTGTAAAATTTCGAGTCAGATCAACTAACCGATAGACTTAGGTGACAAATCGCAGCACACCCCCATCAAACATCGGACTAGATAGCGTCACTAATCGAAGAGTAGACGCGATGTGTTTGTCTGGCGTGGATAAATGGAAGATAGCGCAAGAACCACATTTCTTCGTTTTCGTGACCATTCAGTTGACCAATCTGTGAAAAACTCAGTGGCTCCAGTGGGATTCGAACCTCCGACAGCAAGAGGAAGGCTTTAGTACAGCTAACGATCTAGCCAAGTGAGCTACGAGGACTTGGAACGGGGAAGAAATACGCATCCCAATCCGCCTATCCATCTTGAAATAAACTCTGTAAGAATTTCGTTTCTGACAGGGGATGGCTCATCAGCGGCCGATACCAGCTGTGATTGACGGGCGCGGATGAGAAGGACGCAGATCGTCTTCGTGCTATTTACCTGATTTTTTTGCGGAAAGGTTTTATTGCAGTTAACCAGTGTCGCCCTGAAGATTTCCGGTTGTCGACCTCCTCGGGCCTCTAATCATATTAAACACTTCTGCATGCAAGCACGTAAAAACAGGTGAGTGACAACCCTGGCGTCGTCATAGTGGCCCTCCTCTCTCTCGATACAGTGGTGATAAATTTTCACAAAGGCGTATATTCCTGCGAAGGCGTAACTGCTGAAACTCTGATGTCAAATTTACTGCGAGAAGGTGAGGGAGTGTGCTCGCAGCTGCATAAGTTATTTTTGGACTGACAACGGCGGGTCGCGC